TTTTTTGATTAAGTAATTAGTTTTTTATTGATCCCCTTGAATAATTTTTTATTGATGCGATAAATAGTTTTTTTTTGATACTTCACCCTCCACCAGACCTCCACCCAGGGCTCCGCACTGCGATCTCCGGTGGTCTCCGGCTCCGCGCCATCGCCCCCCTCAGTACTCGGCCCGGAGCTTCACAACTCACAGATTCGTCTGATCCATTTCATCTTGCACTTGGTGTCGAACGCCCAAGGCGGAAGGGAATCGCCCAAAGTCCAAAAAGGTACTCACCCAGATTCAAGGTGGAGGAATACTTTGGCTTCGAGCCAAAAGGTCTGGATGACGGGACACATCTGGATGAAGCTCAGGACACGGCACAAGCACAAAGAGGTGCTAAGTTTGAACCGAATTTCAGATCAGAATTCCGCCCAAAGACCCACTGAGCCCCTGAATCAACGAAGCCAAAGCAGGCAGCCACTAACCTATTGCTTCAACTTCAACATGCTTCAACCAATGGACCTGCTTCGCATTTGGAGGCTGGAGAAGCCCAAGTCTCGCTCCTCTGCAGTTTCCGACCGCTCTACTCAGCCTCTGCTGGAGGAAGTCTCTTGGCTCATGAAACATGACATGGAACTGGCTTCTCGAGGACATGGGGTGCATTCTTGCCCCCCGATCCCTCGCTTTCAGAGGCCCACCTCGCCTGGGAAATCTGCTAAATCCTCAGATGGGACCAGCAACGGCGGCCAAACCCAAAGCAAGGTACAGTAGATCAATATCTGCCTACAAGGCTCTTGGTGTCTTTATCAGGTGAACATATGTTCACGTACTTTGACATCTGTTCCTTTCTTGCATGGGGTATGTCGCAATGTGCGCGCTAGCGTGCCACATGCAAAACAACAACCAATTAAAAGTTCACAAAATATGTCTCACGTCTGGACTTCTGCATGGAACATTGTCACTCAAAACGAACCATAGAACATACTAGATATATATACTGACTATTGTGATTCATTGTGCATGAAAGAATGATTTAGGCACACGGCACACGTATATAACGTCACAAACTCATGTTTGGTGTCTCCATCGGCACTGACAAAGACTTTCCAAACGCGTCCGTTGCCCATCTGAAAAAAGACCACACACAAACTGCACCTTACCTGCTTTTAGATGCCTGTAGCGCGTAGTACAAAACTTCTCAAAGTTATCAAGCATCTTTGCTCAACATTGTTCTTGAATTGTCAGCATGGCTGCAAGAACTGAATGAGTCAACTTGCCATGTGAGTACAGAGATCCCCTTGGTGTCCAGAAGGCCAAAAGTACTCTTTCCTTGGCCCTGCCGGCCCCTATCGGTCTCCAGTGTTTTGGAATGCAGGTGTCCTTTCAATCAAGGAAGGGTATCGGTATGGGGTTGGCCCCCTATCGCTTATGCAAGGTGTTGATCAATTCTACTTTCGAGGCACTTCCAAGGACCAAACATGCCAGCGGCAAACAGTTCCGAGGACATTGGTGACGCCATCTTGACGATCTTGGGCCTCAGGATGCCTAAAGCTCAATGAGCACATGACTATAACATAGGCCTTTAGATCGACCTGAACCCTCGTGGAGCTCCGCTGTTCAGAGGCAACACATCCCCCGACCTTTCCAGAGGCCACTCGTCTCGTCTGCCTTTCCGTCGGCCGGGAACGTCCTCTCGGCCACCCAACGCGATGCACGTGAAATAGGTACTGGAGCTTAATTCGACTCGCGCCTGTGGAAAAAAGAGGCGGACGTGTAGAGATGTAGAGAGAAAAGGCGGCCAACATGGCGATGGGTCTCAGGATCATGGTACCATATTATATTGTATGATAAAATTGAATCCTTTCAACATAAAGCAATATATTGTATACAAGGGGAAAATTAGTATTAAAATCATGACTGTTGCATACTGTTGCTGTAGATTGGGAACTTCTTGCCATTGAACAAAAAGGCCCTTGAAGACTCAGGCCTCTTGAACAAATGAAAGATTCTTGAACAACTCCTGCAGGTCAGATTAATGACTTGACGGCTGCCCCATGAATACCTCACGCGAGGAGCATCTTCCATATGTGTCGTATCCTCTACCCTTAAAGGATACGCACCACATAGCGCCATGGATTCTGAGTGGTTCGGGCTTGGGATATCAACTGACTCGTAGCTCGAGTAAAGCGACAGGTACATGACCGAAGTACCCAACCAATCGCAGTCAGAAACCACCGGCTGCCCGGCTGCCCATCCCATCGCAGTCATTCCCCGCCTTATGGGCGACGCAGCTTCCAACTGAAGAGGACTCAGCGGGAAGGCGGCTCAGTTTTCAATTGGCTGATTGTCGAATCGGTATGAATCGGATCAGCTCCTATGTGAAACCCGGCCTAACCATCACATGGGTTCATCAATCACGAGACTCTCGCTATTGCTGGAGTGTGCCGTCTCCCCATTGCATCAGTGCTGCACTTGATGCGGAGCATGAGCGTGGTCGTCCATCGTGAGGTTTCACTATGATCGCTCTGAGGACATGACACATTCCGGGCTGGTCTTCGTCTGCACAGAAGCTTTTGCACACAGGAGTCACAGGAACAAACACCTGTCACCTAGTTGTTTGGTTTATATGGTATTCAAAGGTACACATGTGAATTGGAAAATCACCCTCAGCTAAGAAGCGTTGATTGGGGGTTGTACAGAGGGGTAAGAAGATGTAAGAAGCAAACACCATCTCTTGAGCAGAGAGCACGACAGTAGGTTACACGACAAGAGCGGGAGCCCAAACAAAACAACAAAGGAAGCAAAGCAAATGAACGCCGGTTTGTTCGCCTCCTTCGAGACAGACCGGCATGACTTGGAAAGTAGCACACCGTTGCACATGTACGTCAGTCTGGGATGATTTATGATGATTTCACGTCCAAGGAATACCTTCACAGCCAATGAAGTACTGATTACTGCATGAGCTCGAGATGATTGTCACCTGGCTTCTACTCTACTGCCGATTCATAGATAAGCAATTGCTACCCCAATGGAAATGCAAGGTTACAGTGCAAAGGGAATTGTGTCTGAATTTGATCTGCACAGTTTTGCGCGGATTAAACTATTTGTCTGAGTCTGGTCCAACTCTTCTCTGCACAGCTATAATACTAAATATACTGTATATGTGTATCTGTATACAACTGCTTTGGAAACAAGGCAAACCTTCTGGGCCATTCCAGATTCTAAATGTCTCGAACGCAAAAAAAAAAAAACAGTATTGGTTCGGTCCAGCTGCCTCCGATTTGTTACGTCCCCAAGCCGATTTCTTCAGGGGAAGCAACTTCCAACTGCACAAGATTGACCTTCTATTCCTTTAAATCCGGCTTCTGGAGATTCCATTAAACCCATTGTTCCGCCAAACCCTTTCAAACATCTGGGCAGTTGATCAATCAATGTACATAATGTACGTTATAGAATAATTAGATCCTGCACCGTGCTTTGATTCCCTTGCTCCTCTCCCAGCTGCGCCTCGCGACCCTTGCACCGTGGGCGCATGCTGGAGCAGCGGATTCCCAGCTGAATCTGCGGGGCCCCGCAACGAAACATGTGGTCACCCCTCGCCGCCCTCGCCCCTTTTGGTTGAATTTGGAAGTTATTCTGGCAATGGGTGACACCCGCCATCACTGATTGTCCTGATGTTGATTGGCCCAAAATGCTTTGGCTTTGGCTGTTCGGACAGTTCGGACCGAATCTCAAGAACTAAGCTTGGGCCCCTAAGAAGCATCTTTTCAAGCTGCTTCCCATAGAAACCCTGTTGGATTTTTGCACTCCCCAGGTCATCGAGCGATTCCGGGAAAAAGCTGCCAAAGACAATGCAATATTCTAGTGTGTTGCTCATATCATGACTGCCTCAGCACTGTGAGATTACAAGGAAATACCTACGGCAACATAATGAAGCAACTGGTCAACTGCTCTCCGATGCAATAAGTCTCAAATTTTGTACAACCCACACTCCGCAGCAGGACCAAATCTGACACTGGCCTTCAATGTGTGATTTTCCAGATACAAAATGACTCTGTGCTTGTCAACATATATAGAAATCATGGAAAGGGATTTACGAGAATCTAGCTGAGGAATTCGTAGAATCTGGTGGTGGCCGTTGAGTAGTGTTTCTGAAGCACACAGCTTCCCGCCGCCAAAGGATGGAATCCCTTCAATTCCCTCCTTCTGAAGGGCTAGTGGCTAGTGACTGGCAACATGTTTGGAGACAGCATAGATGGTCATCATCTCCCAGCGGCCACGTGGCCGGCGGCCTTGGTTCTTACTCTGCTCATATCCAAAGCAGCTGTTGTGCTGTCGGGCCTGAGCCGGTACGATAGGGACCACCTGTCACTCTGCATCGGCATCAGGAGTGGTTGGTCTGTCTATCTTACATTATGTAAAGACCATGCAGTCTTGGCCTACTTCATCCAACAATCCATCCCATGTATATTTGAAGTCTTGGAGTACATCTTGACACCCCAAGCACCGACTCCCGAGCCCCCGCGCACTTGGGGTGTCACACTCCGGGCATGTTCCAAGAGGCGGGCGCCGCAGCGGCGCCGCTGCTGGCGACCCTCAGAAGGTGTTCAGGGAACGTTTCAGGGAACGTTTCTATGTCAAGCCATCAAATCCAGTCGCTTCTTGGTGTCAACCTCCCGGTTTTTTGGGTGGCTCTACTACGGACTAGGGTGACATAGGGTGACTAGGGACTGATCATTGGCCTGTATGTCTTTTTTCTTTGTGTACGTTTGCAGTTGTGGAGCTGGTTGGTCTACCTACCGCACAATATATATCCGTTTGTCAACGAAGCCAGCCATAGAAGTGGGCGTACGGCGTGCGGAGACTTTCCAGGTATGCGTTGAGCTCATGTGTAGCTGATTCTGAGCTTTGGATCAATCACACCTGACGCAAAGACACACACACACACACACATAGTTTTAAACTATATAGTGTGCATGCAATTTAACACTTTATACGTTACACATGTTTTTGCTTATTTATACTTATATATACACTGTATATATATATATGTGTGTTCCAGACTTATATGAGCGTCTGCTAAAACGTACTGTCAAGCAAAGGGCAAAGGAGGTTATCGCTTTTGAGTGGGTCTATCGCTTTTGCAGGTCTTAGCCAAAATTCCTGAGATTCACGACGGCTCTTTACTAAATGAGTCATTGCACGTTTTGGCGGTTGCTCACATATTGGGCCATTGGATTCTATTGTTTTTGACCCAGCACCCCACGGTTCCGAGGCCATCCCCCCGGTTCGCCGGCCTGTGGTCTCCGCCCGCCGGACCTGGACGCATGGACGCATGGACAAAGGCTTTGAGCCGCTGATGGCTGGGGGCTTGTGGGGTGATTGAGTCATGTCCAATGTATCAACGAGTCGTATATGTTTTGCATGGGTTTTTAGCTTTGCATCACATACAGGGAACCTGCACATGGGTTGCAACCAAACCTCAGATACCAAACCACTAAAATCCTCTAAACTGCCTGGGCTGACGAAAGGTAACTGCCTGGCCTGAAAGATGCTGAAAGATCCTTTGAGCTCAGCAACCCAACTTTGGGGTGGTCGAACCTCCCTACCCACCACTCTGCAGAGGTGCCTGGGCCTCGTGTACGGCTGCTCGCTGCCTCTGGCCGGCTGGAGCGGCTCGGGATCCGTCGGACTTCGCGTGGTGCCCGGGCTGGCCTTAGCAGATCCCAAGCCCAGCTGCTTGGGGATCTGAGTTCCTCTTCTGAGTGAGAGCAGTGCGGGTCAAGAAGACCAGGCCCTTATTTGAGGTTATGTTTTGATAATTGTTTCGATTGTTTTGCTTCTCAGTGTTTGAGACGGCTTCAGGTCGGTGCAAGTTGTTGTTTTGCCACTTCAGACTGCGTGCCTTTCCTCATGAGTAAGCATCAGGTAAGCCTGGCACCAACTCATCCACATCCAAGGAAATGAGCATCGGCTCCTGTCAGGTCTCTCGGGCAGTGGATATCTTACCGCTGGTTCTCTCGACCAGTCGTAGGAATATGGGTGACAGGCACCGGCGGCCAGCGGGCCAACGTGGATGGCCACCGGGCCCGAGTTCGCATGACCATGTCAATGCAAAGACCAAACAGGTGGTGAACTCACGAAACGCTCCACTGAACTCATGGTTCGCTTGTCAGACCTGGTCACCCACAGGGCTTGATTTCTTTCGCCGTGGAGGCTTTTGAAACCGATGTTTTGTTCCATGCGGAGCCATGTTGCCGACGTCCGAAGGAAACGGTCCACTGACCCTGTGGTTGGTTGGGGAGCATCGTCTTCCGCGCTTTTGACCTGTGTTGCTGTTTGTTCGAAAAGACCAGTCAATACCCCTTTGCCCCTGGCGAACATTCCGCGCACCCTGGCGCGGATTCCGCGCATCCTGTGGAGGCAGGAGTTCTGGAGACCTTTGCCAGTCCTGCAAGGAGTTCGAGTGTTTCTTCTCTCACCTCCCAATAGTCAATAGTCCATGGGATGCTTAGTGGATCTTCCATGAGATGTTCCTGGAGGGGTCAGGTGTTGGTATTCAAGTGAATTGGGGAATGATGAATGACGATGAAGGCATTTCCTATAAAATTAGAAAATGAGTCGCCCAGCATCATGGATCAGCTTTGCATTCTCTAGTGAGGAAGAGCTTCAGCAGTAGAAAATGCCGCACTTGTGTCTTTTGACCCATGTTTTGCCATTCCCAGTTTTGATGTTGTATTTGTCAGTTTCATTGGTTTCTCATTCCTTAAGTAAACAACTATTCTTAGAAAATGCATATGCCTGACCCCTTAGGGTTAGTCCTCCCAGCCACGATTTTAAAGAATGGACCGTATTCGACAGACGTGGACCCCGCCCATTTTCGTTGTGGCCTGTCCGCCTACAGAGCTCAGCATATCCAAAGCATTTCTTTTTTGAGCTGTCATTATAAGGTACAAAAACACAGCCACAAACATAGTAAGGTTTAAAGAAAAGCAACGAAATGAATCGAAATGATACTTGTTTTTCTGAGCTCAGATCAAGCACATTCAAATTTCATTGATCATATAATAATATACGGTACTTGATCTGAGATGCCCAAGTGCTGGAGATTCTCGTGGACCAGCTGGGTGGCAACATCAGTTTACGCACGAAGGGACCTGGTCTGAAGGGGCCTTTGAAAACCACACAAAGGAAATGAATACCATTAGTCTTGGGGTGCTGCAAGGCATTTGCCCTGAGATACCAGAGCTTCAACCCTTCATGTCATTTCCTTCATGTTCACCGTCAAAGCACCATGCCCCAAACCGCGAAGCAGGGGAAGTGCAAGAGCTCCACCGCGCACCGCCAGGTACGTAGGTGGAAGGGCAAGTCTCTCTCAAGCTTGGATGGAAGAGGGAAAACTAGACTACTAGACACTCTGACTCACTCCACATGGAAGTGGATGGCATGGCGACTGGCAAGACTATTGTCCTACTTATTGTCCTACTTATTAGAGTCACTCTATACAAACACAAATAGGGATTAGTTCCGCTTCCATCGACGATCGTCAACGTCGATCCTCGAAGCCTTCGAAGACAGTCCTGTCGATCAACGGCGGCAGCGGTGGCAGCTTGAAGCACACATCTGGAGCGGCTTTGTCCGGTGAGCCTGGCCAGTGAGTGGTTTTTAGAGCTGGAGCCTGATGGGGCATGATGGGGCATAGAAAAGAATCAACAAAAACAGCAAGTAGGGAGATTCATTCCCGAAAAGCAATTAATGCATTTAACAATATTTAATGTATTGTAATATCATTTAATAACTGATGTGGTGCAAGACTCACATTCTTCAGCTACTGGGGCCAACTTGTTCCAAACAAGGATATCCCGTATCCCCAAAAGCGCTGGAAAGATCTGGAAAGTACAACCACCTACAAATTCCAGACAGGGCACCCCGCGGTGTCGGGTCCTGGTATTGATTCTTGATTCTATTCCTAAGCCTTAGGCCAGTAGGCCAGACTCGGCTATCCTCCATGGAAGTAGATATCAACCTAGCTGCTAGTCCCATGGCTGTGGGCCTGTGGGTGTGTGGGTCCATGGTGCTTCAAATAGGGTTGTGTCATGTTGTGTCTATATTCTTGTCAAACTCCCACAACAAAGTGCCAACCTGCAAAGAATCTAGGGTGGTCGACCCCAATGGTCACTCTTCTAGAAATCATGCAAATGTGTTTCTTTGGTGGCTGTGGTGGCTCCCTCATGTCAAAAAGGAACATGTGTTTTGATCTTGGACTGCTGTGTGTAAGAAATTTCATGTAAACGATTCCTCAAACATACTCCTTCAAGGTCTTCAAGTGGAGGACAAACAACTGCGACCAGCCCAACCAGCTTGCACCCAGGCTTCAACTCTGCTTATGCCTTCCCAAGGAGCCCAAACTGCTAAGGTCCAAGTGCATTGCTACTAGTAGCTTCTTGTTACTAGTAGTAATGCCCTTCTTACTAGTAAGTAGCAATGCCCTTGCTACTAGTAGCTTCTTGCTACCAGTAGCGATGCACTTATTACAATGCTGGTGACATAGTGTCAGCTTGCGGTCCCACCACACCGCTGTTCGGTGACACGCTCGCCTCGCCTGCGTGGAGGCCTTGCCTCGGTACGCACCGTCTCTATTTTGGTCAATGCCTGTTCCATTGGTACGCACGTCTCCATCGGGTCGAATGCAACGATCTTGTTGTTGTGGGAATGGTTCCATCAAGTGAAAGGATGGAGATGGTCTCTTTGACCATGGCTTGGACCTTGCCAGTCAAGAATCAGTAGCCTGTTGAAAGAACAGCTGCGGACGCTAGATATGCATGCTGCATGCATGATTCAGTCAACCCTCCAGCATCATATAACATCATGATACATCATGTAACTCCTCCTTGGATCGGGTGCCCTACGTATCCTACATGGGTCAGGAGGTCCGCAAGACTCCAGGTGGTTCCCCTGAGAGGCTGACCGAAGGAGCCAAGGCCAGGGTCAAAGCCAAGATGGGAATCACCTGGGAACAGATCGTCGGAATGCCCCCGGCCGCGTGTCCGGTTTGCCGTGTGTCCAGTCCGCCGTGTGTGAAGACGCCGCACCCAACGTTTGTGGCAATGCTTCCTCTTCAAGGGTATAATTAGGCAAGCAAGCAATCTTTAACGCATCATATGATCTAAAGTGGGTCGCGAGATTCAAAACCAACCATAACTACCTTTAAATATGACTGCTGGCATACGGGCGCTGGCCACTCGGCCCCCACGCCGCCACAGATGCAGATCGCTCTGGCACCTGAGGAGGACTCAAAACATGTTCCAAGTTTGGTGTGAGGGCCCTGTCCAAGCTCATTCCCTAGGGATCCAAGTGCCTTCTCAGAAGGTGCGACTGGACCCTCCAAACCTGCATAACAGTGCCGAACACATCACCGTACCTGAGAAGGTACGACTGGATCCCTATATAAAAACAGGCCACAAAGCTCCCACCTCGCTCCAGGCCCCTTCCGAGCTCCCCGGACCGTCGCGGCGGGTCCCGTCCCGCGGGACCCCCCCCGCGGGACGGAGGAGCGGTCGAGCCTTAAAGCACGTCGGGGATGGGCGAAGGAGGGATTTCGATGGATTTGGCAATGGCAGGTGCCTAAAGATACCTACCTACGTCGATCCCTTGCAGCATATTTGGCATCCCAAAGCCGGTGAGGAGAGTGTCGATCGTACTGTAGCGTCGTCCGAAGCGTCGTACTTGTCGTCGGGTTCTGAGGATCAGACAGTGGCTTGGTGTGCTAAGAGGTTCTTTTGTCAACCGTGTTTCAGACCTACTGTCGCACCAAGATCAACCTTCCAGAAAAGCAAGTGGAGAGGCAGCAGGCCAGGCCAGTGAGTGACTTCTCCACCTGTCTCCTCACCCATTCAGAAACCTTGTGTTGGACGCATGCTCGAGGGTGGCCAATGGTACACGCATTATTGCTTGAGAGAGGGTCGGAGTGCTCCCGGTGGTTGGACCGCCTCGAATCAGGTGGGGGAAGAACAAAGACTCATTAAATCGAATAGATCCTTCCAACATGCTCCAAACGGGCCAGAGCATGGCACGCAAACTGAGTCATAGAGTTCATATAGGTCCTGAGTCTAGGAATCCCACTTTCAGGCTCAGAGATTGGATTGGCGTTTGGACAGATCAAAATGAGCTATGGCCCATGGCCAAGACCTCATAGAAAAATCATGAAAAAAACATTTGTACTGGATGGTGATATTCACCGCACGGTCTTAGCAACACCTCAAATTGAAGTCAGGTGGCTGCCGACGGGTTGGTTGACGTGATGCTCATGATGCGCTACCCTTTCTGCGCTAAACTGGGTGAGACATCTTTGGCGCTTCCTTCCAAAGCGCGGCCTCTTGTAAAGGAGGGGCTTGCGCACCCGCCCCCACCACCCAAGTATTTCCAAAACCTTGCAAACCTTGGTTGATCTCGTATTTCTCGAGCACGACGATGTTGCGATGAATGTTAATGCTGCGAATGGATCCAACCTCTGTAAACTTTGGATCAGAGGATCTCCCGATGTGCATCTCAGAAACCAAATCTTTCAGCTTCTCAATCCATTGGTAGGCATCAGCGTTCTCAAAAGCAAACTGCAGATCCTCAATAATGTAAACACCACCGGGCGCCAAATGAGGCCAAAGTCTTCGGAAGCTTGCAAGCTGCATGCGGCCAACGTGACTCCCATCATCCACAATGATGTCAAAAGGAGGTACCGATGACACCAATTCATCCAAAAAGCTCTGATCTTCTTGGTCGCCGAAAAAAATCGAGGTGATGTTATCCTCAAGCCGACTCTTCATTCCTGGATATGGACAGCACTCGACCCCGGTCACACGTAGGTCCCGACCAAAATAGTCTTTCCACATCTCTAGCGCCCCACCGCTGCCCAAACCGATCTCCAGCAAATGAGGCCTCCGCCTGCGAAAATGCTGCAAGTGCCGGTGGTAGACTTCGAAATAGTTCGGGCTCTTCGTAGCAAGCAAACCTGGGCGGGGTGAGCCTGAAAGCTTCATACTGTTCTGACCAGAATAGATCTCCCAAGATCTCCCAACCACCACAACCACTAAAATATGATTCAAGCATGACAACAAACCCTTGGCCCATAACCACATCGTCTTTTTTTAAGAAACAGCTTGAACCGTGATTCGAACCGAACATGAACCGGTGAACATACGCTTGAACTGCATGTGATCGTCCCGGAAAAACAGAAACGATCCAAAATCCGTTGAACAACGACTCTCCCCCTCAGCCTGCGCGATGCGAATCCCACCAGTCCACTAAGGGATTCTGGCTGGGTGCCCAGGAAGGGATCTCTCGCGCCAGGCTGAGCCACTTCTTCAAGCGAATCTGCGCCGAGTAGGGACCCCAACTCCCAGCTGTGGTCCTACTCCCAGGCGCGAGGAAAAGACGCGGCAGTAGGCTGGCAGAGAGAAGGATGTCGCCATCGAGGACGGACAACGGGAGGACAAAAGAAATGATGCCCGACTTCTGGAAGTCTTCGCAGAAGCTCTTTTGGTATCCCAGACTTTGGATCTGAATGCAGATGGAGGTGTTGAACTGGAAGGATTCATGTACCCAAACCATCACTTCACAACGCAGTCGCTTGCTGGAAGCGACATGAACCTGCGGACCAGGCCCTGGCCAAAGCCACCGTACGTACGCTGGTTCTGCAGGTGTGGAGGCACTAAAGGACACGTGGAAGCACAGCAAGACATGTCGAAAGCTGCCCACCCGCCATAGCATTCTCGGAGCCTGCAGCTCATTGGGACGTTTTGATCATTTATGATCATTTTAGATCCAGTGCGAGCATGTGCAAGCAAAACTTCTTCCAATTAGTTCCTCTAGTAAATTTTGGGATCGTTTGGAAGCACTGTCCTGGTTCAGAACATGTCAGAACAAATGTCCCTTTCTTATCTTTCTTTGCACGAACAGGTGATCGTTGCCTTCCAGTAAAATTCGCATCTCCAGCCCATTGGTGGTTCTTCTCAAGCAGTGTTCCGTTCGTAGCTTCTTGTTACATCTTGTTACTAGTAATGCCAGGAGCTACGTTCGTAGCAATGCCCGTCCTTGCTCCGTTCGAGACGCGTCTTGTTACTGCTTTCATGTCCATCGATCCGTCCCTGTGAGGCCAAAGACGCACGAGCGGCGGAATGGGTGGGTGTTACGTGGCGGACCTTGGCGTCGCGCGCGCTTCACGTTCTGTGGGTCCCGCAGGTTGGAGCCGCGGAGAGATGAAGGTCCGTGCAGAGATGAACTGGAAGACCTTGGCCGCAGAACATCTGGAGGTCTTCCACTAAGCAGAACCGTTGGGTGGTGGTGTGTGTGTTTTGCTTGTGTACCTTCCCAGGTGCTTGGCATGTCTCCTTCATTTTGGTAATTCTATTGCAAAACAGCATGATTGAACTTATATAACTTACTTGCACACGTTACATCCTGTCACCACACTCTACGTTTATAAGAAATCCCCTGTCATTGTTTAGTTAGACAAATACTTTCAGGATGGTCAAACAATCAAATCAGCGTCACCACCCAAGTCAACTCTTGTCGAAAAGAATCCACAGCAAATCGCGACTGCGACTGGACCTGCTGGTTGAGTACTGTTTTGCCCCCAACTGGTGGGGCCGAGCAGCTTGTTGACTTGGTCCACCGAACAAGCGTCTGGAGGATCGACCAGGTGTCTGGAGGATCGACCAGGTGTCTGGAGGATCGACCGACCTGCATCCTCACCGGGGCTTTCAGAGTTCGGGCGCCACCGCGAACGGCTTCTTCGGTCTTTGGAGGTCTCCTCTTCTCCGAGGACCGTCGGAGGATGGGCAGGCTGAAGACGCTTCGTTGATCTCAAGCATCTTTAAAACCTATCACCCGTCGACGCTCCGTGAGTTCACAGGCCGGTCCCTCCTCTGGTCCCTCCAAACCAGAGGGGATTGGTGCTGAAGGTCCGGACGAGAATACCACCAGAGGACTCCGGAGGCTTCCCCGGCCCCGTTCCACGGAGGCCTCCGGCCAGATCGTCCTCGCTCGCTTCGGTCCGTTACACCCGAGGGCAGCACCCAAAGGCCAAACAGGACACCGACCTCAGCGATGCGGCAAGCGGTCCGGACGACTGAAACCTCTTAGCAGGTTCACTCTTCCCACCCCCGGGCCCCCGGGGCGGGTGTCGAGAATTAGATGTTTCCAGCCCAAAACACAAGAGGGAAGGCAAAAAAACTCAGAACACACGGGACTGGGTTGCTGCAACTCCTGCGACTGGGTTGCTGTTTGTCTTAAGACTTCTCCCTGTGCCTTCCCGGTGCCAAATCATGGAACACTTGGGCGCACGGTGAGGCCAATGTGAGCAGCCGCTAGTTGCTCTTCATGGTCCCAAAACGCCTCCAGCCCCCAGGGCTCCACCAGACCTCCACCCAGGGCTCCGCACGATCTCCGGTGGTCTCCGGCTCCGCGCCATCGGCCCCTTAGCTCGGCCCGGAGCTTCACAACTCACAGATTCGTCTGATCCATTTCATCTTGCACTCGGTGTCGAACGCCCAAGGCGGAAGGGAATCGCCCAAAGTCGAAAAAAGGCACTCACCCAGATGTCAAGGTGGAGGAATACTTTGGCTTCGAGCCAAAAGGTCTGGATGCGCAAGGTCTGGCCAGTTGTTGCATCTGCCCGTTTTTCGACCCTCAGAATCCCTGAAACCTCCTGAAACCCATTGAAGCATCGCTTGGGATCCGTCCGTTCGGTCCCTTCAATCGCCTGCTTCTGGCTTTCCCCACCAGCCAACAAACCCACCGCCTGCAAACCTTGATCAAGTGTTGAGGGATACTGAGTGTACGATTGATTAGTGGTGCTGAAGCCTGGTGAATCCTGGTTGCATGTCCATGGCATCCGCGCTTTTAGCTTTTCTTCGCAGCATTGAACTGGAGTCTCTGGCCATTGAGATGGCGCTACCTGCAGCCAGAAAGGCTCTCGGACTCGACTGGTGGTTTTGTGGAGGTGCAGCTGGTTTGTACCAGCATCAACCCGAAAACATCATTGCAGCTCATTGCATCAGGCCCCGTTTCGGCTTGAACTCAGCTAGGCTATCGAGTTCGAACGGCAATGCGGAACGTCTTCCTCGATGCCAAACCGAAACCGTCTTCCGATGGCCACTCCGGCGGAAAGTGCCGTGCCTTTTTCCGATGGCCACCAGCGGAACGCCCGCGTACTCCAATGGCCTCATCCTCAGATGAGCGATGGCTGCTTTGTCTAGAGTCTAGATAATTGTTGCTGAACCTCTGAATTAGTCCGATTACCTATTTCCATGTTTGTCTCGGCTCTTTCTACCTATTATCTATCATGCCGTGCCCCTATCCCACAAGACTTTGGGAGCTGGGCTCCCAAGAGCTTTGACACCACATCCCACAACAAGACATCCCAACAACAAACGTTGATCCAACATGATTCAACATCCACTAATCCAGTGCCCCCTCCCTACCCACCCACCCACAAATCCACAAATCCATACAAATCCACTTAATCCACCTCGATGTTCACTTCGCCCAGCTGCTCGCCGTTGGGCCCCAGCTTAGCCTCTCGGAGGTCCAAAAACTCCGCTCCGCTGCCCACCTGCGCGAGCGGAACAGCGGCTGGAAGAGAAAAGGGACGTTCTCGTTGATCCAACCTGTTCTTTTTGTTCGGAGAACGTGAAACCTTTTGAAAAGGGATCATGTCGAATCATGGAATCGATCTGTACAGATCAGAAGGGTTCCAAGAGACTGGAACAAAAGCAGAACGACTTTTACTAGCCAGGAAGGACAGTCTGCAGAATGTTTAATGAATGTGAGCCAGGTACTCCAATCGGGTGATCCAATCTGGAAAGTCTGATCAATCTGGATCATGATCATGACATCAACGAACTCTCCTGAACTCTCCTCGAAGGCTTTAGTGTGGCATCGTTTGATCGGCTTCAACCACACCTTGCAAACGCCACCGCGCAGCTGCAACTGGCCAGATGGTGTCGGCAAAGCTTTCAGCGTGTGGATGTCCTGGGATCATACGATTGCTCTTCGGCTTAAGGGCTCGTCATGCCTTTGGGTTGGAGGCCATTCCTTTTAGGTTGGAGGCCATCGCCATTAGGTTGGAGGAATTTCCATGAATTTCCTAGTAGGTTGGAGGCCATCGCTATCAGGTCGGAGACCATTCCTATTCGGGCTGGCCATTAGGTTGGAGGCGATTCCTATTATTATTAGTTGAAAGGTCATATATACTACCTTGAATTCCATGAAGTGGGATGGCTTTTTGACCAACCCTGGGGCCAACATCATGTGACAGGGGCACCCAACTCCTTCCTCCATGCCGCACCCCGACATGGATCTGCTGGTACTGTCTTTCAGGGCCAGAAAGACTTCCTTCTGCCGTTGAAGGTGTTGCAGTCGAGGGCATGCATGTCATCTGGGATGTATGAGAGTCAATGATTTCTGATATTGTACATGATTGTTGTCTGGTACAAAACCCCTCTGCAGGTTGCTATTGGTTGCTATTGTATTGATTGCATTGAAGGGGACCTCAAAAGGTCTGGGGCCCTTGGGGTTGCTACAGCAGTGCATCCTATAGCAGCTAGCTGGAAAGCTAGCTGAAGAAAAAGGATGTCCCCCATTCCCCAGCGCAGAAGAGGATGTCCCCATTCACGAGGACAGGACGCAACAAGAACATCACTCGGTCACTCGGCTCAGCCCAGCGGCCGCAAACAACAAGCTACATTTGTGCGAGACCATCGCGGCCAAAGTGGCCTGGCGCAGCCAAATGGCATGGTGCTGGTGATGGCTATAGCAATCACCAGTTAGCATTCAGCATGTTCAAGCGCTGACAGAATCACTTGTCATTGTCCGTTCTTTCTTGGATACTATAACAATTAATGAAATGCTAGTACATGGAGGGTTTGTGAGGTCTTGAATCATAGCCACTTGGACGAAATGAACCCAAATGACCTGTGTTGACCCCAAAAAGGACGCCGCACACGGGTCCTCAGCGCCTCTGCTCGCTGGCTGGGGCTGCCACACCCGCGGATGCCACTGGCACCTCTACGAGAATGGCCCACGGACAGGTTCGGTTCGGACCAAAGCCCGTCGTTCGAAAACCAAAGGTCCCCCGGAAGCAAAGGGCGAATCCGCTGGAAACCCATTTGAGCTTTGATGTTGGCAAATGTCTGGCAAACCCACTTGATCCACCCTTCCAGGTCCTGTTTTTTGTGGCCTAAGCCTGCTCACCTCAACTCATTCCCACACCTCGTGGGGAGCCTGGCATATTGGGGCTTATTGTGGTGGTCATTGGCCAAAGAACTCCTCGCCCAGCCAACTCTCTTCGCCTGGCAGCACCAGGCCCGCTCCTCTCATCGTGGACTTTCACGATCTGGGAGTGAGTGCTGTTTCTCCTTTTGAAGGAGAAGTTCGACTGAAGCTCTAGCTGAATGTTTGGCTGAAACTTCTGAATGTGGGGCTGTCATTATTTGCCCATATCATATATCTATATTGTTATGGTTATGATACAAGGTATTTAGTATAATACATAAGTGGAATATGTCGCAAGCTTTCCAAACCCAGGATGTAAAAGGAAACATTGAACAAACTCTGCCTCCCTTACCCTAAAAGTGTCATGGAAACTTGGGCCTCTAGATTATCAAGAGATGATCATAAAATGCTTTGCTAATATAAGCATAGGTATGCGTAGGTGTCCTGTTGGCTTTGAATTTATTCCGTAGTGAAGCCATCTGCTTGGAGGTCTTGGATCAAATCTGGGCACGATGTTCGTGTTGGGGGACAACACATGACTTGGTCTCACATGCCTCACTCACACTATCCCCAAATATCCCCAAGACTCTCGGTCTGGGTGGACTGGACCAGACCACCAGCAATTCCAAGCGCTACTGACCAACCCAGGCGCTACCGTCCTGCCAACCAGGCGCTACTGACCGCAGAGCCAATGCCAAATGCATGGCCTCATCGACGTGGATCGACGCGTCACGTTCTCACGACGTGACCGGCTCACGACGAGAGACGTAGGATGACGTAGGCACGTCTCGCCGGCGAAAACTCAACTTTTTTGCGCTTGGAGAAGATCAAGGCCCCAAGGGTACACGCAAGGCCTCAAGGGTGCATATCAGGACTTAAAACATCTCTTAAAACCACTGCTACATGCGAAACCATGCGAAACCCATTGGTGAGGCTGAAGCCTCATCTGCAAAAAAAAAGCACTGGGCCCTTAGGTTCCAGCAGAGCGTGATGGAGACCAGAACCCGATCAGCTGCTGTGATTGCAAGTCCTTAGTCATGTGAGCCCATCTGACTCCGCAAGAAGAGCCAGTCAGTTGTAAATGGTCTTAGTCTTGGAAGAGGGAGTCCTATATTGGAAGAGGATCATTGGCGGAGCATTTCACACCAGAATGATAGCGCTAGCAAAGCTCCCTGAAACCAAAACGTCCACCAAAACACAAAACTGCGGCAACTGCAACATGTATATATATATATACAGTATTTGTATATGATTATATGTGTTTTACATTAACACAGAAAAAGGGGTCGTCAGTGTGACGAACTTCCTTCGGCTTAAAGCTCTATTGGCAGGTCTTCCATCCTTCCAACTTCCAACCGCTGAGAAGATCGACGCTCTTTGGCAGCTGCACCCATCTCCTGCAGGTGATCTCATGTGAAGCTCAAACATCAAAAGTTGAGTAATGTCGGGACACATTAATTAGTACATTAATCAAATGATGTTTATGTAATATATATATAGTATAATAGCTGTAATGCCCCCCTGGCCAACATCTTTTGCACCATAAAAAGATCCTCAAGTCCTGCCTGTCATTATCTTGTCCCACTGCCGTCCGACCCTCTTGCACCTTTGGACCTGAGCATGGGGCTGGGTACCTGCAGGGCCTGATGCCCACGACTTGGAGAAATTCATCCTGGCCCCGCCTCAATGGCCTCTCTGTTTGTCAAAGCCTTGGTACTTGACCAATAGCCCAGCCTCAGCATCGCGACGAACACCGATCAGGTATCATTGGCCTCTGCTACTATATATAGTGAACAAAAAAACACTCGCGGAACCGCAGCTTTGAGTCATCTCGCCTCTAGTCCCGTACACCTTTGATGAAATCCCCCGCCGCCGTTGAGAATAGTTTGAGAAACAACAAAATCGATTGTTCAATATGCTTTATCAAATAATATTTCTTTGACCCCCCCACACCCAATGGCACCGGCGCCGTTCCATCGCTTCCTGGCTGGAAGCGAACAACCTGTCTCGGCACCCCACGGCGTGTCGTCGCCAGCCACCGAAACCCGCTCAGGCACCTCTGACTGCACCAGGGGGGGCCAGCTCACCGTCTAAGTCCTCAAGATCAGACATGATCGTGTGGAATTGGGTCTTTTGGGCAATAGGACTAGAATGGACTAGATTATGGCAATGGATCTCAATCATTTTCTCATTCAACGAGTGGGACTGCGAGCCATTTAAAGTGACATCCTTAATCCTGACTTAATTAATGACTTCCTGACTTCTATCATGTGATTCATCTGACCTGCTTCTACGCTTCTGAGAGTTTACGACTGTTCTTGTGCCGGCCAAAGTCACTTTTCAACGATGCCAAAAAAAACAAAAAAACACTTGTCGCAGCTGACAAAGAGATGCTCCGATGTGATGGAGCTGAACCTCCACAAAGTCAGGTGACCAGGTTTCGGAATGCCACCCGTCCTCAACCACCACAGGCTTCGCAGGCAATTGGTACTTGGCCTCAAATCACATGGTTCATAGGCGTGAAGACACAGGTGTGTATGGAGTAATAGCACAACCTCCTGCGGCAATGACCCCCAGATTTCGGTTTAGAAAATCGACCATTCTACCCGACCAGGATGAGCTCGACTGATTTCGGGGGTCTCCCTATACACCACCCACACGGTGCATTGCTGGAGTCGCTCCGAGTCAGTCCGCTCTGAGCTCGTCGCCAGCGCAGCGTTCACCGCGTCACCCGACCGGTGGGTCACGGCCTCGGTGCGTGTCGAGCGCGTGGGACCTGAAGGAATGTGAAGGACACACCGGGTGAAGCAAGCCATGCAGCGGCAACAATGGAAAAGCACATGGAAACATCATGGGTGGGTGAAATGGTATTGTGTTTTATGTATTCTATTGTTTTATGATGTTTTATGAACCTCCATGAACCGGCACCCTCACTGGTGAACTGAAAAAGTGGACCATGTGAAAGCAGAAGACAAGGAGGGATTTCTTCGGAAAAGGGCGTGAGACCTCCATCTTCTTTCGATCTTTTGGTTCACGATGTTGGTGTATCAAACCAAAAGCAATCATGTTAAATACACTCCAGCTTCTTCAGTTCGTGACCTTTTGAAGGTTCCTAAGTGACCCTTAGGAGACTTAAGTGACCTCAAACCAGGTTATCAAAAGGTCACTTTGAAGAACCAGGCTGTTAAATACTATATATATATATTATATTGTGTATATATAGACATCCGACCTCAGACCAAGATGGCGCTTCTCACGGGTCCTTAGGTCTGTCTCGGCTAGGCCTCTATACAGGGCACGTTGTGAATATAGGTGAAGCTCCTCGATCAAAGGAGTGCGTTGAAACCACTCACCAATCTACTCACATGTTTTGAATCATTTTGATCACCATAAGTTCACCTTAAATTGTTCTCAACCCTTTAATGTATATACCATGTGGAAGAACAGAAATGCGGTGATGGTCGGACCCAACGTTCCGATTCCGCGTAGACCGCAGGGCTTCTGCAGCCGGGCGGCCAGTTTCAGGTCAGTCACCTTCTGCAGCTCTGCCAGCTGACCCTCATCCTGACCAAGTGAAGGGTGGGCCCCAGAAATCTCTCTCCGTCTCTGTCTGCTCTGTTTGACAAATCGAGTCCGTCTCCCTGCGCTGTGCGGTCGACCGCGCCGCGTTGCCGCGCCGCGTTCCAGCAGTCATCCACAGCCCGACCTGACCGTCCTGCTGAACCAATGTCTGTGTTGTCTCTAAAAAGCCACCAAGCAAGCCCTGACATGGTTGGGTTTGCATGCCATAAAAATTCCATCCTGACAGGGTCAACTGACTTCAGCATACAACGTGCATGCCACAACAAAACTAGGTCAGGTGGTCAACCTACAACTGATCTTGGCAATGACTGCACTGCACCAAGTTGTGCTGTGCCAGTGATGGCAAAAGGGAACACCTCCCCTCCAGTGTTGGGTTCATGTATCCTGTATCCGAACTCAGGTTCCATCCTCACATTTGGCGGAACGGTCTCGCTTCTCACTTCTTTTCTGGCCATAGCAGAACTCTTTTCGATCGACTGGCTAAGTCAGCTTTGGGCTTCACAAAAAACAAAAATCTTGGCTCGAGATGGAAATAAGCGCAGATTCGGACGAAATCAGCGCACCTTCGGGTTTTGAACAAACACGCGCCGGACAAATGACCTTGGACAGCCACGAACATCCCATGCACAGATTGGCGAGCTGTTGCAGAAGCTTCAACACGCTCTGGACATTGCAATGTCCTGGTTGGTGCAACACACTCACTCTGTGTGATGATGGCATGGTGCCTTTCGTCTGTGCAATGATGGCATGGTCTGCGTGCCCGTAGTCTAGTGCACTGGTGGTCTATTCTGTTCCGTGGTCAACCACGGTCTCCGGGCGTTCACCCTCGGTCTCCGTGTGAGCACCAAATCGGTCCAAACACACCGTTCACCCGTCAGCGCAGCGATGGGGAAGGCGCAGGGCTGACGGTGACCGAAGCAATAGCCAAGCCAAGGGACCGGCCAAAGAAGCTTCTTCTTCCTATAGTAGTAAGGCCAGGAGCCGTCGTTCGTAGCCACAAGACCCCAAGCCAAGCGACCGGCCCAAGGAGCTTCCTTCCGATTTGATCCGATTCGGATCGTTCCGATGCTGAGAACACCTGGAGGAAAGGAAGCATGTGGAGATGTGCAGAGGGTGTCGTTTCTTCCAGGATCAGCTAGCCAGCTACCGTATACGTCAGTTTCCAGACTTTTTCCATGAACTTGGCAGCTGTAAACACCTCTGCCAGGCGTCCATCATTCAACATGGGGCATTCATGGGCATTCCAAGGCATTCCAGGGAAATCGCTTCTTTTGAGCTACCCCAAAGCAACAACCTTCAGAACTGTGAGCGACACGAGCTCCACGAACCGAAGCTCTCTCACGAGTTGAACACGCGAGAACACCCCCTCACCAACCCACGGGCCGTGAACGGAAAAACGGGCCGTGGATATGACGCGGAGAAGTGGACGTGCTTTCCAGGGAAGAGAACACATCCTTTGGGGTCGCGTTTTGAGAGAACCTGAGATCCAGTTGCACTGCAACAAAGGCTGGTCTCAACGAAATCTCTTAACAATTTTCTACCCAACCTATCCAAAGCGTCTGCACGTGCTTGCTTGCTCTATAGCAAAAAGCAAGACTTCTGCACATCAATCAAGAAAAAGCGAGGTCAACGAGCTTGCTTTCTTTGCATTTCTTTACTAAGTTCTATAGTTCAAGCAGCGGTTAAATAGGGTGACAGGAAAGGCTACAGTACTTGCTCCCAAAGACATGGCGACCTGCTTGGCCAGCCCCAGCTTGGAAGCTGATGCAAAGCTCAATCATCAGGTGTTGCTCTTTTCATCTCGTTTCCTCGATCACCAGGTTTTGCTCAAACGAATCTACAGAAGGAAGACAGCCCAAACTCACAGACCACCTGGGTGCGAATGATGAAGTCAAAGGGTACCAAAGCTCCTCCATCTTCGGGAGCCCACATCTGCCGAAGCCGCCATGAAGGCACACTGCTCCATGTGCCGATTGCACCGCCTGTCCGACGCAGCTCGAGCGGCTTCACTGAGAGCCGCCCGGGCCAGCTAGCTGTTTCCATCCGTGGAAGCGGTGGAAGAGTGGGTCGCAAGGCTGGAGCGTCCACCTAGGCATCAAAAGCACATCGACGGGCGCTGGAGCGGCCTACCTCTTTTGGTGGAGTCAAATATGCCAGGGCGGTCGATGGTAGAAAGCAGCACAGCTTGCGCATCCCTGACGGCTGGCAACTCGGGACCTGAAGGGCAGCAATTGGATCGATTTCTCTTTCGTCTGAACTTGTGGTTGTCTCATTGAGCCTGTTTCACAGCGGCAAGTCTTCGATGTGGTTTCAGAGCCCAGGCCACGAAGTCGTAGTTGGTTGCAAAAGGAAACGCCCCACACAACGCCTATTGCCTGCTTCCAATAGAGGATGAGCTTCCCCAGGCGAGGGTTCCCCAGTCTCTCTGTCTGCTTTGTGCAAGTTTATCCCCCCATTACAAAGCTCAGCTTTGCGTCTTTAGTTTGAGAATGTTAGAGAGAGAGAGAGAGAGAGATCTAACACCTTGGACAGCACCCCCCGTCCTGTCCAGATTGAAGCGAGAAACAGCTCTCTCTTGGGCTTCTTCCAAAGCTGGACTGCACGACTTACAGGCATGTCACATGTGGAGCTGCTCAGCAGGAGGTTCCACCAGTCCAAGACCGGATCTGGTGGTTTCGTAGGAAGGTCCACGTAGGAAGGGCCATGGCGCTTTCTCGAGTTATGGCGGTTTTCTCTGAGATCTCACATTGATTCACCATGTCACATATACTAGCTATAGTGACTATTAGTGGGTTCATGATACTCTGCAAGGGAAAAAACACCTACACTTGATTGAGTCTAGTCGCAAATTGGAGTGCCACACAATCACCTGGTAAAAAGCAACAATCCTCTGGGTGTTAGTTTTCAAGCCATTCTTAATGAATCTTATGGTTCTTAATGGTAGTGGGAGAAATTGAGACAGGTTGTCTCCTGTTCCAGAGGCACTTTCATGGCCAAGCATCCTCTTTCCTGAGGATTCCACACAGTTTTGAGCGGCGAACATTCAGATCGTGCAATGTCGCCAGATTGGACAGGACCTGCTGATTGTCAAACACTGTGACGAGCCGCAGTGGCAGCCATAATCCTGCCAGTCCTGGCAACTCAAGTTCTGAATCAAGAATCTGCTAAAGGCCCAGAACATGTCCAGTGCGCATCCAACATGGTCCAACAGATGTTCATCTGTTCCTAATCTATTCCTCCCAGACGCTCCTTCCACACATGGGCCAAACTGGGCCGGGGCCGCGGCCCCGAATCCTCTGGTGCGACCCGAATCGAGGTCGGACCTCATGAGTCGGCCTGTGAACTCATCGGGCTGTGAGCTCCTTCTGTGAGCTCGTTCCTGCATGTTCTGCCACCCCACCTGGCTGGCCGTTTTTGCGGCAAAGAGACGGTCACGTATCGCGTCCATTCTTTTCTTCAGGACGGTCGGCAGCTTCTGTGCCGGTCATGGCGGTGAGGGACAGAGTCTGACAGACCCTGCAGGGAGTCACCAAAAGGCTCTGAGCCTGCAGGAGCCTTTGACAATTTGACGCATGGAGGGGATGGGTGATGGGTCATGGCAGGCAACCTTGGTTGACCTGCCGGCGAGACGGTCAAGCTACATGATGGGCATTTTGAAGTCCTGGCAACGAAAAGATCAACCAGAAGTCCACCGGAGAAGACATCCATGATTCCCACTCGGGAAAGAAGACATCCACTGCAGATTGCGCAACAAACATCGAAGATAACAAGCCATCTCCCTGTCTCATCAACGCTAGGGTTTCATCCGGGATGTATCTATGGGGCGCCACTGCCGCACTGCTGCAGTACAAACGGGCTGAGGATGGCACAGTATGCGGCACGACATGGAAGCGCAGACCCTTTGGAGGTGAACCCCGGGCAAATGGCACATGGCTGGGACCCCTTGGCCCTGGCCGGCTTTTCCTTGAATTGGGAAGGTCGGTCCCCCTATGTTGAGCTACGCGCCCAAATGCCGCAGAAGGATCATGGCAACTAGCGTCTCAATGAGGTTCACCATCTACGTCTCACTGGGACGAATCGCTTGGAACTTGGATCTGACGTAACGTCAAGCCGGCTGCTGCACACACCAAACGAGGTCGATTCGAGGGCTGGCGCAAGCACCGCACACATCCAGTGCCAACACCACCTCTTCATGGTGTCTTGGGTACTTTCCAGTGACGGAGCAGCCCCATGTCTTGGAGATGTGCACCGAAGGAAAAAGAATGTCGGATGTGTGTAGGGCTATGCCAAAACATCAATGCTGCCGAAGTAGTGCTGGAATATCTCCACCAATGGGAATGCAAGGTGCAAAGCAGTGTCACTGTCATCTGTACCTACGGTTCTGCCACCGAAGCGGCTTGCATCACAGGAGCTAGGAGGAGGCAGAGTTGCAATCCCGAGCAGGTCTCTGCATGGAAGTGAATCTGGAACGCTTCCGAGCAAGGTGTCGTGACTGAAGAGATTCCCAATCTGCTAACAGAATGGTCAAGCGTTCCCCCTATCGCATGGAGTGAAGCCGCTGAGGGTCCTGCATGTCACAACATGCGGAATCTGAAATCTGGGGCAGGTCACAACTTGGAATTTGGGGGTTTTAGAATGCATATATGTCTTTCCAGCTGGGGGTGTCCCTGGTCTCCTGTTTTCCACACGTATCTGCACAATCCACTGGGCATCACTCGGGGTTAGATCTTATTGTTTTCCATGTGACAACCTGTGACAACTATAACTATAGATTAAGGTCTACTGTCTCGTCTCCAGCTATGAAATACAACTCATCGAACGCATGACAACAAGCAGAATACAATAGTTGTCCACTTTCCCAGACCGTCACAATTTCGGGAGAGAGAACAGAAACTCCGGATACAAGCACTCCCGATGCTGTCAGCCTGTCGGCGCTTTCAACCATGTCTTCCTGGCCTGTCACATGCTCGAAGACTAGGCCTCTCAGCCCTGCTCATCGCCCTGCTCATAGCTCTGCAAGGATCGAAAGAGATCCAGTCTTCATCTGCTAACTTCCGGCCATTTCCGCCCGTGTTTGATGCAGGCACATGTCAGATGACATGTTTGCAAGATCCGAACCGCGGCGACTCAGAAAACCAACACCGACGTCGAGGACTGCCGATCCAGTCTGAGCGTCACCAGCAACTCCGCAAGTCCACGCAC